TGGCGATATTGAGCTTCTCCATTGTCTCTTTCCTCAGATGTAGTTGTTTTGATTCCTGTGTATTCCATCTGGTGAGATGCACGTGTATAGTCGTCATCGATTACATTGTTGAAAAAAAATATTTCTGATGAATAAGTCATTGGTCTTGCAGAATTCTACCATGGGATCTCTGGCTTCATTTCTATCACCAAAGCTGTATTTTGCAACTACTTATCCTTTTCTTGGTTTTCAACTTTTCCATTCCAAATACAAGCAATTATCAGTGCATCTTGATTGCACATTCAACTAATTTCAGATAGCAGAAGGTTGTAAAAAATCTTAAATTTTGTCATGTTTGGCATTTGTGGTTGTTGTGTAAGAATAATAGTGGTATTAACTGGTCTTCCTTGCAGGTATATGATATTAGCTTATCACTGACGACGTTGCACTTCAGGATAGATCTCAAAATGTCATTTTTAACAATGAATGCAATATTATTCCTCTTCAATTTGGTGTTCCAAGCATATAGGCCATATGATTTTTGGATTCAGAATGGCCGATACCAATCATTTCAACTCACTAACGCCTAGGATGTTGATCTTCAAGTGTTCTATTTCATTTTTGATGACTTCCAATTTTCCTTGCTTCATACTTCATACCTTCCACGTTCTGATTACTAATGGATGCTTACAGCTGTTACTTCTCATTTTGAGCCATGCCACATCAGCAAATGAAGGTCCTGAAGGCTTTACTCTAACCATATCATTCAGGTTGACTCTACTTTGATGAGGCAGCTCTTCCCCAATCACATTTTGAATGCCTTCCAAACTGAGGGGTTTGTCTTCTAACACTATATCGGACAATCCATAGGGTTTTCATTGGCTAATTTTCAGAATTAGATTGAAAGACCTTTCTTCCTAGTTTGTCTTAGTCTGGAAGATTTGCTGAAATCTGTCCACCACAGGTAACCCTGCTGGTATTTGAAATACTGATGGCATGGCTTCTAGCATCACAGGAACATGCAAGCTACAACAGTGCAACAAACAGACAGGTGGTGGCTTCAGCAATTGGTGGTGCTCAGTCAATGTTGGGTGGATGGATGGATGGATGAATGTGGCCAAGGATAGTTTTTAAAGAAGAACATGACCAAATAACCAGGATGACTAGGTCTAGCTCTAAAGATGCTGAGTGGGGAGGCCATGTCAGGGACAGGTGAAGTAAACTGAGGTGGGGGTGGGGGAATCAAAGATATAAATATAGGGGTCTTTGCATGGATTAAGTGCCACAATAGAGCCAAAAGAACTCAGGCTTTAGAGTCTGAAGATTTAGGTGCAAACACTGCTTCCGACCAACCACAGGATGTGGAAACCCCAATTTCTGTGAACATCAGCTTCTTCAGCAATAGGGAGATTGCTCTGTGAGGCTTAACTACCTCACAGGACCGTTGTCAAGATTAAGTGCAATCTTATGTTTTGCAAGGATTTTCTACATTTTAGTACAGCGACACATAAATAGAGTCATCTTATCTTGTATTATTCAAACCAGAACACTTTTGAGAGTCAAAGAAGATGCTATCAGCAATTATGTGAGAACAATACCTATAAACCAGGACCCTCCTGGGCAAACTTGGCTGTATGGTCACTCTGTGTTCTGTAGGGCTCTCTCTCTCTAAAATGATATCTACAACTATATCTATATATTTATATCAATATCTTACGAGTTCCTGGCTGGCACAAATGGTTAAGCACTAAGCTAGTAACAAAAAGGTTGGTGGTTTGAACCCATCCAGAAGTACTTCAGAAGAAAGGCCTAGTGATCTCCTTCTGAAAGGTCACAGCCAAGAAAACCCTATGGAGTGCAGGTCTACTCTGACACACATGGGGTCACCATGAGTTGGAATCAACTTGACGGCAACTTTTCTTTTTTGATTAATATCAATATCTACATCTACATCTAAACCTATATCTAATTTATATCTATGCTTATGTCTATGTCTACATCTATACCTATTATTTACTGACGCTGGTATTATTACAGTCAGCTCAGACTACTACTTTCTCTGTTTCTCCTCCTTTCTCTTTCCATCCATTTCTCCCTCTCTTATCCATTTCTCACCAGAACACTTCTTTTCTGAGAATCTTGGCTGTCCTTGAAATTTCTCTCTTCACCTCTGTCTCTCTCCCTTCCCTCCTCTGCTCTCTCTCTTAACCAGCAACAAGATGGAAATGAGACATTTTTATTTGTGTCTACCATTTTTCTTAAACAATATTCTCTGTTTCTTAAAAGGCTATACTTTGTATTTTTCTAAGAATACCAACAAAAGTGGTCCTTTCATAATGGTGAATCTGGTGTAGTTGAACAAGCAACGGATTCAGATTGGGTACATGTGTGTGACTTAGGGAACACCACTTGATCAGTCTGAATCTCAGTTCTCTCATCTGGAAAATGGGGATAATCATTCCTGCCTGGAAGCCAAATAAATGAAGTCACTTCATTTGTGCTTCACAGCAGCAAGTGTGGCTGCGCATTAGAATCCGCTGGGGTGCTTTTGAAACTCCCTATTCCCAGGCCCCAACTCAGACCCAAGCATCAGTAGTGGTTATTCCTTATGTTATTCCAATGTGCAGCCAAGGTAGAGAACCACTAGTTTGTAGACTGTACAATATTATTTGAATGTACACTAATGTGTGTGTACTGACGTCCTTGATTTGCTTAACCCCATGGATCAGTGACTACAGAAAACAGGTTAACCAGCCGTACCCTAAATAATTGATGAGGGGAGGGGGGAAGATGAAATTTTAATAGACTTCGAACTATGCTGGGCTCTGTTCTGAAAGACTCATAATGATAAAATTATCTAGCTATTAGACTCTAACTTTGGGCATTTGAAGCCCAGTTCCTCCCATAGCTTTGCCCATCGCTCAGAACTAGCTCTATCTCCAGCAAAAACAATTGTTTGATGTAGCATCTTTGCATTCCTAATGACGAGATAAACCAAAACCAAAACAGCTCATTTCTTTCAAAGAGAACATATAAAAGAGTGAAAAATTAAATGCAAAGGTGTTAATTACTAGCCACAGATTAATTTTCAAATGATCCTTTGAACTTCTAAGACTAATGAGTACAGATATATTCCATACTGCAAACCCCAACTCCCCTGGAAACTCTGGTAAATAGAGTTCTATCATTGTAATGGACATTACTCAGTAGGTAAGAAAAAAAAATCAGAATGATTCTCATGATTTATAAAACTCATTAATGATAAAGAGAGATCACTTTCAGAAGAAGTACAGTTCCTGACATCTTAAAACAGCATCTGTGAGAGGACTGTGGAAACTTACTTTTTAAGTACAAAAAAGAAAAACAACAGAATTGGAAAAGTGACAAATTGGTGATTTGCTCTTACACAGCTTAACAGCTGGCACTGGGTCAGTGTAAATGTCCAGTTGACACCCCGTCTGGCCCTTAAAATTGTCAATGATGCGAAGGGAAACGCACGCAGGTAGCTAGCTGGAGTTCCTGGCACCTCTAACCAGTCTGTCTTGGTTTGGGTTTCTACTTACTGACTGAATGGCCTGGACCATACACCAATCCAAATCCAACCAAGGGAAAAGAAAAAGCCATTTTAACCTGAGAAGTCTACCTTCGTAAATTCATTATCCATGTCTTTTACAAATGACATTTTCTTTGATAGACATTTTTATCATTTTGAGTCAAAGCATCAAGGTCACCTGAACTTGGTCCACTACATAAATCTATAACCATGTTCAAGATAGATGCACGATATAATGTCAAATCATTATCTTTTAAGCAGCACGAGGGACTTGGGCCAACTGTATGAAATTAATGATTCAAAATATAGGGTTTAAGAAAAATGGTTGGTCTTTCTTCCAGTCTTTGAGCTTTCTGGAAGATTCTGCTCCCACTGTCATTTCTATTGTAGTTTCTCTGTGCACAAGTTTGGGGAAGCCTCAAAGAGACAAAGGGCTACTTTCCACAGACTCCCCGGGATGAGCCATGTTCAAGGGCAACTTGGATCTTCTTGGGATGGACTGTGGAGGTAAGACCCTCAGCAACACACTGTCCTCAGAAGAGAGGGTCCTATCCCCTCTGCAGCAATTAGGGGAAGGGGAGAAATTTGGCCTTCAGAGGCTGGGAACTGCCACATGCCCATGTACATTTTCATCCTGACTACTTTCCAGCATTCCTAACTGGATTGGGTCCAAAAGACCAAACCCCGAAAAACCAATCTTGGCAGATACTGTTATTTTAATAGAAAGGATTCCCCACCTCATGATGGTCCTCGATTCACTAATCAGTCCTTGGTCAGCTTGGCTGGAACCTAGTGGTTGTCAAAGATCTTTTCCCCTGGCCCCTGATCTGGGTTCAACTGTATAAGGCTACAGTTAACCATGCTTATTGATTTCAAATCTATTTCACTAACTTCTCGTCTTTAAGAATGTTTCCCTTAGGTTGGAGGAGGAAGCAGGGTGGACCCTGGCCACTTTGAGAAATACAGGTGCTCTTCTCACACAACTGCAAAAACCACAGCATCACAACAATCCAAAACCTTAGCCAATGGCAGGGTGAGAAACTGCAGACACGTAATGCAAAACTTCTCTTAGCGGACTTGTCTAGTTACAGATAAGCCAGCAACATCTCCTGTCTTGACCATTTCTGGGAAATTTTGGAAATGATGCTCCTCCATGTTGAATTGTAGTTCTTAGCCACAGTACAATGAATTTAACTGGTCTGCTATTTAATAATGGACACTTTCGCTATGGGCCAGGATTACCATGCCACCCAGTGACTTGGAGCTTGCCCAGGAACAAGGGGAATGGGAAGCAATCCCACGTCACACGATACAGAAGGTAGAGGAGATCAAGCTGCTTCAGTAATGGCCTCAAAAGGCCTGCGAGTCCCTCATTTAAGTATGTTCATTCTCCTAAGAGTCAAGGGTCAAAACAGAGAGAGGTCCATCTAGCCAAGGGTTTATAGTTCATGCCATCTGTTCAACCTACTTGATGAAGCAGTCTCGCCCGTCTCGGTTTGCCATCATCTCCCATCCATAGGGTGGCACCTGGTTCAAGGCCCAGGTTCCTGAAGGAGGTGGCCAGCCTGAAGACTTCGTCCTGTGGCTGGAAAAAAATAAAAAATAAAGCATCACTACATCTGACTTCCAAACATTTCCCCGAGACAAACTCTAGAAGGGGCATACAACTTGCTCCTCTAAATTGTGGGCTGTATCCTCAACTGCTTAAATGAACAATTACAGAGAATACTTGTCAAGAATTTTCTAGAAAGCTGCCTTTCAAAGAGCAAGGGGAAAGGGAAAATGACTCCATATTACAATTATAAAGAATTATGTCAGGTAACTGCTAGGCATTTTCCTATATACTACTTCACTGACTTTTCCACAGAAGCGCTGTGAGGTTAAGTACACTTATTCCATTTTACAGATGAGGCAATAATGAATGGCACAATAAGATTAAACAACTTTCTTGAGGACACACAAGCCCATTTTGAACAAAAGCTCTGCACATCTTCCATTATACTAGGCATTCCTGAGACCAGAGATCAGGACGGTGTGGGTATATAAACAGATTTTATACCACAATATAAATACACATATGAGAATAAATGGCTGTGTTTATAGATTTTAAGCGAATAACCTGAAGCCTCAGTTTCCTGGATTCCTCTGACCCAAATACAAAGTTTAGGACTCGTATTAACCACATCCAGTTGGGTGAGTCACAAAACTTTAGATAAACCTTCAATTTAAGTTGTAACAAAATTTCACACATTCGCTTTTACAATTCTCAGTCTGTATTTCAAGTCTGACTCATCAGCAAAATGAAAGCGTAGGTTAAGGAGAATTTTCGAGAAGGCTGCCTTTCCAAGAGCAAGGGGAAAGGCCCACGCACGTCACAAGCAGCTGGGACAGGCATCGTTGCACGGTCACAGTCCATAACCGGAGTCCCGATCCCAGCTTCTGGAACCTCACCCGGATCCTGGCTACTCTGCTTCGGCTGAAACCTGCAGAAATGCTGCCCTTCCCTCACCAACGCCCAAGGCTCCTTCAGAACTTAACCAGGCTTTTGAAAGGAAATAAGCAATGCCGTTTTAGCGCTGGCCAACGTCATTCATCTTTTGGTCCCTTTGCTCCAGGTGAAGTTACTCACTCTGTAAGAGCCTCTGCGGTTCCAAATCTCAGACTGGTAGCAAAGCGGGTGGGGGACAGCAGCCAGGACATTTTCAGGGACTGACAGTCCTAGTCTCAATGGCATACCTGGGAGCGTGAAGCAGATGCCCTTCCTAGAGACTGAGGCAGGCGTTGGTCAGCTACTGGCTAGTGAGCGACACAGGGGCCGAGTTGCACCTCCGTGTGCCCCCTTGGCACGACCTGCATGACTGTACATGGCAGCTCTCACACGGCCTGTTGTCCTCCCACAACAAACATCCAAATCAGTGTTTCAACCTTTCTGTGAGGAGGGCAGACTTTTAATTCCCCAGGGCGTAGGGCTCTCTGCCTCCAGCACACGCATCTCAGGTGAAACAAGCCCATTTCCTATAAGTTTTTTTTGTAGAGGAACTGTTTTGCATCACTTTATCCACTTCCGTTGCTCTGCTTTCACTTCCTTTCAGTTTTCCCACACCCCTCCCTAAAGTATGGCAAGCAATGTGTGTGTTCACAACTTTACTACAGGTTTACCAAATTTAGAATGCCACCATAGGGGGTATTTCTTGCCCGTTGACTATTAAAAGAAAAGACACGGCAACATGTTTTGTTCCTCTTCTTCACGCAAAAGTCAGCAGTGGCAATTTCCGCTGGTGGTTTAAAACAAAATATGTGCTGCTTCCCTGCAGTGAGAGAATACGTGAATTTGCCCCCCTGAGGTACTCCGAGAAACCACCAATCTCTCGACACTAGGAGAGAATGCCTTTGGAATGATTTCTGAGGTGGTACCAAGAAAACAAGCTCTTAGATGGATGAACACAGTATATCTTGCTATTAAAAACAGTTTTCCAAAAGAACAGTACAAGAGGCCACACAAAGAATGTTCTTGCCAGTGAAAGGAAGCCTAGGTGAGAATGTGAAAATTTATGCTAGACTACGAAATTATGTCCTATATCAGACGTTGATCTTTACCAAAACAAAAAACCAAACCTATGGCCATCGAGTCGATTTCGACTCATAGCGACTCTATAGGACAGAGCAGAAATGTCCCATAGGGTTTCCAAGGCTGTAATCTTTACAGATTAGTCCTTTACTTTAAGGGCTAAGGAATAAAGAAAACAAAAATCCTCACAACTGGACCAATAAGCAACATCATGATAAACAGAGAAAAGATTGAAGTGGTCAACAATTTCATTTACTTGGATCCACAATCAACGCCCATGGAAGCAACAGTCAAGAAATCAAACGACACATTGCATTGGGCAAATCTGCTGCAAAAGATCTCTTTAAAGTGTTAAAAAGCAAAGATGTCACTTTAAGGACTAAAGTGCACCTGACCCAAGCCATGGTGTTTTCAATTGCCTCATACGCAAGCAAAAGCTGGACAATGAATAAGGAAGACCGAAGAAGAATTGATGCCTTTGAATTCTGGTGTTGGCGAAGAATATTGAGTATACCATGGACTGCAAGAACAATGAACAAATCTGCTCCTTAGAAGCAAGGATGGTGAAACTTCGTCTCACATACTTTGGACATGTTATCAGGAGGGACCAGTCTCTGGAGAAGGACATCGTGCTTGGTAAGGCAGAAGGTCAATGAAAAAAAGGAAGACCCTCGACGAGACGGATGGACACAGTGGCTGCAACAATATGCTCAAGCGTAACAAGGATTGTGAGGATGGAGCAGGACCGGGCAGTGTTTTGTTCTATTGTACATAGGTTGCTATGAGTCAGAACCTACTTGACACCTGACAACAACAACAACATTGCACCCATTCACTGTTGCGAGGACTGAATGTGTTAATATACACAAAGTACTCAGGGCAAGGCATAGTAAAGACCATGTAAGTGTTAGCTGGTCTTAATAACAAGGCATGAGTAGTGTTTAACACAACAACAATCTTTACGGAAGCCGGCTGCCACAGCTTTCTCCTGCAGAGCAGCTGGTGGGTTCAAACTGCCGACCTTTCAGTTAGCAGCCAAGCACTTTAACCACTGCACCACCAGGGCTACTTAATCTTTACCAGAGGGGGCTAATTTATTAAGAACAAGCAAACCTTCTTTCTTTTCTTTCGATCTTTTTTTCTTCCCAGGCCAAGTCTTAATCACTAAAGGAAAGGCACAGACTGCCTAATATAATTTTCATGTTAAATACAGCATTGTAATAACAAGCTAGAGGAAGCCTGCATTTTATTAGAAACCACATTCTATCCTGTACAGCATGTTCAGGAAGCAGCGAACAACGGTTCAGCAAGATGTTTTCAAATAAAGTCTTTTTGTCATAAAACACCAAATAGAGTGCAAATACTGGAAAAATCCACAAACGTTCATTGAATTAATCCAGGGCAAGGGACATGAGCTGAGGTCAAACAAATAACCGAGTAATTAAAATCTGACATGACTACATGTCTGTTTGTTAACGTGCTGACATAAAATACACGGATCTGAAAAGGCTTAGCAGAATTCAGCAAATTAAAAGTGCAAGTAGAGAAAACATATATACCACTGTTTGGAAGGTATCTAACCATAGAGGCAGTGGTGGTTCAGTGGTAGAATTCTCGACTTCCGTGCGGGAGACCTGGGTTTGATTCCTGGCCACTGCACCTCATGTGCTGTAGCCACCACTGATGTGTCAACGGAGGCTTGCGTGTTGCTATATTGCTGAACAGGTTTCAGCAGAGCTTCCAGACTAAGATGAACTAGGAAGAAAGGACTGGCAATCTACTTCTGAAAACCAGCCAATGAGAACCCTCTGAATCACAACAGTCTGATCCCCAACCAGTCATGGGGATGGTGCAGGACTGGGGCGGCATTTTGTTCCATTGTGCCTAGGGTCGCCATGAGTTGGGGGCTGACTCAACGGCAGCTAGCAAGAATAACCACAGCAGTCTTGGGAAAAATCAAGGCCCTAGTTGTAACTGTGGAACAATTTGGGTTCCACGTCTACGCAGTGTTGTTACTGGAAGTCCAATCCCAAGAATATCCAGCTTTGGAAGCTGGTGGTTTACTCTCTCCTTCCTGAGGAGATGCTCCACGGACCTCCTTTTCCCGCTTCTACTTCTGTGGCTGCACCAAACTCTCCACCACTCCCAAGTGCCCCCAACCCCACTGCTGCTGAGGGACACAAATGCAAAGAGGTGGCCCCTGGCAGAGCGGCAGCCAGTGCATGCAGGAGCAGAGCCTCCTGGCTCTTTTGGTTTAGAGGGCCCTTCTGACGTGGAAATTCTACCTGCTTCCTCAGGATGGACCCAGCACTGCTATGATGGCACAGTCTGTGCACAGCTCCTAGTTTTGGGCAACAATGCCAACCCAGTGTTCCTGTGAGAGAAGCATGTCATTTATTTCCCCCACTTCAGAAAGAGTCCATTCTGAGTTCCTGGACACCTTCCCAGGGGCTGGAGCCTTTTTTTTTTTTCCAATCCCCCTTTCCTTTGAATGAAGTCTCACTTTTCTTGTCCAAGGACCTATTAGCCTCTAGATTCCTCCTGAACACCAAAAGCCTTTTGGATAAGGAGAACCCTTGCAGTTCTGCTCAGCTGCCTGGCGTGGATGAGAATGGTCTCAGTCGGCCCCACTGAGATCAATTGTAAGGGCAGCCTCCAGCTTAGGGTTGCCAGATTTAGCAGCTAAAAATAGAGGATGCCCAGTTTTAAACTTGAATTTCAGATAAATGAAATATATATATAAGTGTATAGTGTAAACCAAAAAAACCAAACCCATTGCCATCAAGTTGATTCCACCTAAATATTACATTGCTGTTGTTAAGTGCCATCGAGTCTATTCCGACTCCTAGCAACCCTATGGGACAGAGTAGAACTGCCCCACAGGGTTTCCAAAGAGTGGCTGGTGGGATTTGAACTGCTAACCTTTGGGTTAGCAGCCAAGCTCTTAACCACTGCGCCACCAATATTACATGGGACATACTTATACTGAAAAAGGAAACCCTACTCCAGCTTCCGTAACAAATGAACACACAGACCCGCTGAGAGTATCCAAGAGAAGGGCCTCTCCATGGGGCCAAAACTCCCTTCAAGATCTGCCTGCAAGATTTGCCTTCACCTTGGGACCAAACACTACTTCCACTGAGTCCAACACATGAAATTAAGCCCACCAGCTCCCCAACTAGACTTCAACCAAACCACAACCTCCCAACTGTGTTGATGACAGTGTCATAGGATTACCAAACCAAAATCAAACTCTTTGCTGTCGAGTTGATTCCGACTCATGGCGCCCCTATAGGACAGGGTAGAATTGTCCCATAAGGTTTCCAAGGCTGTAATCTTTATGGAAGCAGACTGCCACATCCTTCTCCCAAGGAGCAGCTGGTGGATTTGAACCGCCAACCTTTCAGTTAATAGTAGAGCGCTTAACTACTCCACCACCAAGGCTCCGCCTGTAAAGATTACAGCCTAGGAAACCCTATGGGGCAGTTCTACTCTGTCCTATATATAGGGTTGCTATGAATTGACTGGAAGGCGCCCAGCAACAACAACAATCCATTCTCAGAATAGAAAGACAGCAAAGACTTCGTCATCTCTTCTTTCCCAATCTGGCAAGAGCCAACTAGGAAGGGGCTTAAGCAAGTAATCGCACCTTCGTATAGGTCAGTAGTTGAGTTCCTTGGGTGGTGCAAATGGTTGACGCGCTAGACTGCTAACAGAAAGGTTGGAAGTTCGAGTCCACACAGAGGCACCTCTGAAGAAATGCCTGATGATCTACTTCTGAAAACTCAGCCATTGAAAACCCTGCAGAGCACAGTTCTACTCTGACACCCGTGGGGTCGCTATGAGTTGGAGACGACTTGACAGCACTTGGTTTGGAAGTTGATGAGTTCAGCCATTCTTAAGGCAGAAGGCAGAGTGAAATACCAGGAGTTTTTCCCAGGAGCCAGCAATCCCAGCTGTTTGACCCTGGGCACAATCCCTACTTCTAAGGGTCGGTTTCTATTTGTCTCAAGCAACGCCCTGAGATTCCCTGCAGCTCTGGCGTTCTGTGATTTCTATCTAAGACCGTGGCTGTGTGAACCACTTTCAAACACTTAGCTCAGCCTTAAAAATAGCGACCTACATTGGCAGCACTATTTAAGTCACTCCAGAAACTCCCAACATCTGACTGAACTGAACTGGTTTGCAACTTTGTGCTTCGCCCAGCTCTTGTTTGCAGCAGATTGAAACTGTCCTGAACAAAAAAGTTGTTTATCCTTTGTAAGATGTGAAAACAGCTATAAACGCTACAGGCAATTTGGTGGAACCACTTCCTGGTTTCCTCTTGTGTGCCTGGATCAAATCTCCTTGGCAAATCTGCCCTAGGAGAAGGTAGGCTCTTAGAAAGGACCTGAGGCTTCTATGGTCATCTGAGTTTCCTAAGAAACA